ATTCCACGTCTAGCTTCTTGATTGTAGTCAAACGTTTTCTCGAGACATTTGCGACGGTCGTTTAGGGACAAATAGGGTAATTGTCACAAAAGAGATACAAGTTCAGGTTTGGACGACCGTGACCCTGGCGCCTGCAGTAGAATACGAATGCAAATACCAACCAAAAATATCGCATCTACACCCCCTATACGAGGCAATCTGTGATATTCGGTATCCGCTGGGAGATGTGCTAAGGGACATGTACCGTTAAAGAAGAACATACACTATGTGTCGAACGGATTTCGATGTGGGAGTTCAAGTTGCTTAGTACCACCTAGACTCACAACGCAGTGCTAATTGGCTCGATTGTGATGTTATTGCCGACAGTTAAGTAGGTTAAGACTTGTCTTCGACAGTCTTTTCTGGTAGTACTAAGGTATTGAGGAGGTGTAAATTAAAGCGGAATCATGGGGGGAAAGGGTCCTTTTTATCTTCAGAAATAAGGTTCAGATGGCGGAAGAAGGATGCTCTTTCATTGTTCACGCGCGCTTGTATGGGGCTGATTCTGTTTACATGCGGCAGTGTATTGGAATCAGTTGTTGGTGTAAATCCTATTACCGATTTGCAACCGTGCTTTGTCAGCAGATATTTTATTGTATCCGTACCAATATCTCAAGGTAATCTTAATATTGATGACTGGTTCATGTATATCGCAGACGGCTCAGTGCTCGTAAGTAGTACCTTGGTCATTTCAGCAGAGTGCCCAAAACCGGCAAAAAAATCACCGAGTATCAAATGAAATTTTCCTTGCTACATGGACTAGACTCGATAGCGTAGACATGTATCAATGGAACGAGAAGTTGTGGCGCTTCTGGTGTCTGGACTCGGAGTAAGTCACGTGGGTGACAGCCGCTGTAATTTGCCCATTTTGAGCTGGCGCTTAATCTCAATGATACCAACTATGATCTCCATTCATTTCATTGCGAGATCATCATGGGGGCACCACTGCCTTTAAGGCAAGTTTCAGTCCATGTTATATCCAAAGACCTCAACTCTATTGAAAGGAACGCTTACAGAAATACCGATCGATATACCATAATATCATCGTTGCGATTTGCGTGCGATACATCGACATGGTTTATAATGTGGTTACGCCCTCACTCACCTTAAAGAAGGTATAACGTCTGCTTATAGGATACTTTTCATCTGTAGGATTTCGGGATCAGTACCCATGCGTCGAGCGCATTTTTGGTACTTTTCCGTGCGATCGCAGCGATGGCAATGTTCGGCCAAGATGGTGTTCTGGGGAATGTGCTTCTGGGAGAGTCGATCCGATGGTATTTATCACTATACATTAAAGACAGTGGTTGTTCCGTGTGCCAGGGATGTGGATCTCCCCATCATGTCCGACACGAATCACTCGAAGAACATTTGGCTCCCTACGTCTCGTGTGAGAATGTCATCGTCCAGCCAGTCAGTACAGTCTCGGTACGCATTTCATTGTAGTGATAAGCCATTGTAACTAATTTTGGATGCATATATACAGACAATGTTTATTTTGTCACGGTAAACAGCTCGAAGCTTTCCGTTTTCACATGTGCGCTGACAATTTTTATGCCTGGGATTTATCTCATGATTTTCGGAGTATGCTTGCAGTTTTGTTGCGACGTCTGTGGAACAGCCAAACCGCAAATTATACTTGGATGGACCATCTCTCTTTTATCTTGGCGACGACACTCGTAGTGATCCAAGCATATATTCTCATACGCACAGTCAGTTCTACAAATTCACGTGGGCAAAGAAGCAAGATTTGGAGTCCTTTTGGTGTACATACAAACAGATCGGCTTGTGGACTATTGGCTTGTGTCTAGTACCGTCGTATACCCCTGCATCGCAGCATGTTTAAACGTCATCTATTTTGAATGCACGTTTGGAAACTTGATACTCTCCTCATGAAGTTTGTCTCTTGATGATTCTTTGGATTTCCCCGATTGCTGATGCGAGTAGTGCAATAGCTGAACTCGATTCTTGTATGACAATGTCACGTCTTTTCTGATAAGAATGAAGTCCTAGTTTTCTTTTCAGATTCATCGCTGCTACATCATATGGGGATTCTCGGTTTTGGGTAGCCATTCCTCTGCCTTTTCGTGGTTCGGAATTATAAAACTGTGGTGGTCCTGTTCTCTGTTGCGGTACTTATATTCGTGTGCAATCACTCAACATCCAAACAGTGGTTGGTCTCATAGCCGTCATCCTGGGATCTATTGCATACGAAAGGCTAGTCTGGGACTTAACTGATCAAGAGCGGAAACCTAAACACGGGAAACTTCATTGCAAATGTGATCATCAAATGGTATCATTACTCTACTTCTTACGGGTGCGGGGACTACAGCATTGGTTAACCTATTTTTGGTGCTGATGCTTTGCTGGTAGCGGATAGGATATGGAAAATCAACCGCGAAGCACACAAGGTGGTTGGCTACACCTCGAATCCGCAATTGCAGCGGGTAATGGCTATCATGTAGGTTTACTCCCATCAAATTTTCCGAGAAGGAAGCTCAGTATAATTCTAGCTTAGAATCTGGTGCTCTATATCCCGCATTTCTTATAGGCGTTATGGGGTTATGCAAACACCGTTGCCACCGATACCGGAATCCAGCCAATCAATTTTAGCACCGATTGTGGCGCAAGTTGCGGTAAGTTTTCAAGGACTTGAACGCGGTTCCGTGTCAATCAAATTACCACGCAGGGAAATCGCCCGACCGCCTTTGATCATAGCCCGAGCAGGAATGGTGGATAGCGGCGGAAAACGTGGACAAAGTACTTTCAACATTTGGACTTTGCTGAGAATAGGCACACAGACTCTCTCGTTACGCACGACAGATATCGAGAGGGACGACTTCAACAGTTCTGTCAGTGAATCGACTCGGACGCGGGAAAAAGAGTTCAATCGAAGGTTAGATGAATTGTAAAGTATATCTTTCATGTCTGCTCGGATATTTACCTTCTTGTGTCTGCCTGTGCGTGGTGCGTGGGAAATGCGAATTAAGCACAGGCTTAGGCGCCAATTTACACGTCACGTAACACCAGCAACTGTTCTCCGCCATTGGGCCCAATGTCCCTCCTCCACTATTCAATGCTCGTGTTCTCAAATCCCAAGGATCCGGTTTAATCACAACCCAAACCAGATTCAAAGATGCTATCCTCCCGTAAACTAGTCGCTTTCCCATTTTTTGTGGTGAACGGTTCGGCCATCCGAATTGGCGATTTCCAACTTCCATCTCGGCGGCCTTTGGAAATAGCTAGATGACAAAAGGGCAATTGTAGCTCTTCTCGCAAAGGGTATCACATTGAATGATTGGGAACGCTGCGTTTAATGCCAATGGGGTACTCACTCTATTGACTGGTATCACTCCCCATTAACACTTGTTATGGGCTTGGTTTACTGAAGCTTTTGACAGCTGGACGTATATGGTGGATTACTCGCCAAGCAAGGTCAACGCATCAACTCAAAAGTACCGGACTATCGTCGCAATCATGTATGTCTATTCCTTTCCCTCGATCACCGTGATTAAAACTCGCTGCACCACCTAGATTAGATTAGAGTCCGGATCCCTCTACCCAACATCAATAATCGTGTACCTCATCATCGCCAACACGCCAACACAGCGGGGATTTTACCTATTGATTTGTATCCTGTCGTGTGGCAGGCAGCTGTAAGTTTACTTTGCCACCGTTATTTGCTGAACACGATAGGGCATAGCCTCGACATTAATCATAGTCCAGGCAGGAAGTGGGAAACGGTGGACCAGGTGGTGTCGACGTTACACTTCCGCAGAGAGTCACCGTGGCTAGCGAGTCAGATCAGGAGCGATTTGGCGATACAAAACCGCGACAGGACAAAGTTGATATTGTGTAATATGTACTTTCCACTGGCTCAAAGTGAAGGGAGAATAACATACATGATGTGAAAGACTCTCATTACCGACATAACGCAAAAAATTACCCATTCAGCGGTGAAGACTAGTTTCTGTAGCGGATAGCCAATGCTTCCTGGTATGAACGATCCGTGTGGTGCCTGGGAAGTGTATACTCGAAAAAAATCAGAGTCGGGTTCGGAAGTTCCGTTACAGGGAATCGAACCCTGGGCTATCGCGCTCTTATCTACGACATACTGGGAGATGAGAGGCGATAATGTTAGCCACTACACCATAACGGATGTGCTTGATAAGTAGTTTCCACAAACCATACCCACACCAGTGGCCAATGTTTGACGACGCCCTGCGTTACCAGGAACAAACAACACCGCAGAGTCACCCTGTTTATGGAGGCTAGCGATCAGGAGCGAGACACGGTGGCTATTGTAATTTGTTTCGCCTGGCTCTCTGAATTCATCTTGCTTGTGCACTCTCAGGTCTCGGGTAGTAGTAGTGGTTTAGATGGACAATTTCAACGAGCTAATGTCACGTACCATTGCCAGATGAATTTCAAGTTGATGAATCACGGAGAAACGTAACGTGGAAGTCGACAGGGCAGCAGTATCCTCAATGCGTGTCAAAGAAGTCGCGGTTGTCATGTAACTGTTTGCATGGTTGGTGTCCAGGGGGTGTTAACATCGTATCCGAGTCTTGAAGCTAAACAGATTCCAATGGTCCCCAGAAGTGTCGATAAACACATCATGCATCATGATTTACCCAATTTATAGCTGGTTGAAATACACTCCAACTGCCGAGTGTCATTTTGAACTTGGTGGAGTGGGCGCTACTCGTTAGTGGCAGTACTACCGTGACTCCAAATTAGCACGCTGAACCTTTTAAATTCCAGAGGCCGGATTGTCAAAACGTACTTGGATTTCGAGCGCCACAATTCTTTACCCAAACTGGAGAGTGAGTGGCATCTGGAAGTCGCGAAAGAATTCCATTACAGGGAATCGAAACCCTGGGCTATCGCGTTTTGCCAGACGTGGACTGAGGACCCAATTTCGTACTCTATAGAAAAAACTTTGCAGATGTTCACTGGGATTCCGTTACAGGGAATCGAACCCTGGGCTATCGCGTTCTCCCGTGATAGATCAACTATGAGAGGCGATAATGTTAGCCACTACACCATAACGGAGTATGCCATCCTCCTTTGTCACGCATCCGTATCTCCTCAAATTTGGTTGTAAAGAGCTAGGTGGGTAGGTATTACTACATCTTTTTCATTCGTACTCTATATGCTAAAGAAAGTGTTCATAGGCGTAAGTAAAAACGTAGAGCGTAAAACAATTCGTACACAGAAGAAAGAGTCAGTAAAAGTAACGATCGCGGTCGGTCGGTTGGTACACATAAACATCCTTTTTTCAATCCCTCGATCCACTTCCCCCTTCTCCATTACCTCCACTTCCAACCCCAGCACCTCCACCTTTAACATCCCTACTCGCACCTCCACTCAAACCCGGTAAAATGGACTCATAAGTCGGCGGAATCTCATCCCTCGCAGGCCCAGCATCCCTGTGCACCAAAGGTCCTTCAGCAAGGTACGTACGATGCTGCTCCCCAAACTCCTCATCCGGGTTCGCTACAGCCAGCCTCTGTTGATGTTGCTGGGCGGAAGCTGACCCAGACGGCTGCGAATAGTTTGACTGAGACTGCGACTGGGCGTCAGACGGCGCAGACGTCGACGCGCTCATTCTCCTTCCATTTGGCGAGCCGTTTCCGTTGTTATAATACGTATAAGACGAAGGCCCATAAGGTGCAGGCTGATTCGGATGATGTTGCGGCACCGGCATACCCCCAGCAAATCCACCATACGCCTCTCTTTCCTTCGCTAGCCTTCCCGGGCTCATCCCCGCACCTGCACCCATACCGCCGGAATGCGACGAAGACACCACGCTGGGTGCGGTAGTAGGTAGACTAGGTCCAGGGGACGGATGCCTCCAATCACACCAGCACCTGCCATAGCACCGGTGTAATGGCTGTCAGTCGTAGTAGGCGACTGAGGTGGCGGTCCGTAGGGATTGGGGAAGGTTGTTTGGCTAGGATGTGGGGAGTGTCCGTGTCCATGGCCTGGTGCGAACAAGGGGTATGGTGATACAACACCTCCGCCAACGGAAGCGGCGTTCAAACGACCGCCCATACCGTCGTCTTCGGTATCGTCGATGGGTATTTGGGGGAGTGTTGGTGCGCCTGGTGGATCTCGTCGGCCTGTTGGTGTTATCATTCATTAGCACCTCAAAGAAAAAACACAAAGAAAGAAGGGTAAAAGGAACACGCACTCAAAACACCACCCCCACCCGGTCTCTGACTCATCCCACCAACTGCACCACCAGACGAAACAACCCTATCAGGATCAAAGTTCCCGTCGAATTCCTCAATGGCTTTTCGTAGTCTCCAGCGTTTGTACGCCCAAACAGCTAACGCAACAAGAATCGCTAGACCAGCGACACCGCCTACGACGCCTCCTGCTATTGCGCCTGTGTTACTATCGGACGAGGAGGCAGGGGATGTGACGACGCTCCCTGGGGGAAGGGTGGTGCTGGTTTCGAAGACTGTTGTTTGGGTTTGTCCGTCTGGGGCGGTGGTTCTGTGGCATTGTTAGTGAAAGCAACGGAAAGGAATGGAGCCACGCACATGACAGTGACCTGTGTAACAGTCGCCTGTGGTGTAGTCAATGTACTTTCTGTACTTTGTTCTGTCGTTGAAGGAGGTGCGCTTTCGCTGCCGCTGCCACTACCTGTGGGTGTACCGCTGCCATTTCCTGTTCCTGTTCCGGTCCCGGTGTTGGTGTCGGTGTTGGTGTTGGTGTTGGTAGGCGGTTCAGATGTCGGCGACGTAGGCGGAGGAGCGGATGTCGGTGAAGTTTCTGGTTCTGATTGTGTAGTCGGAGGAGGAGAGGATGCGCCTGTGTCAAAGAAAAAGAAGGGGCGTTAGTAAGCTCAAGAAAAAAACGTGGAACGACGATAAGAAAACGAAACTTGTAGCGGAATCAGACGAAGGCGGGGGTGTAGTAGGCTCGGAAGAGGTGGAAAGGGGAGGCAAAATGGTTGGTATTGATAATGATAACGAGTCTGAAGACATCGTTCAGGGTAAGAAGGCAAGGGAAGCAAGGGGGAAAAAAGGCTGGCAGGGCTGGCTTGCGGTTTACGTGCGCACGGGTGCCGAGAAACCGAGAGATAAGCCGTTTTGTTGCGAAACAAGCCTCCGCCTCGTTTGATAGTATGTGTATGTAGTGAAAAAGAAAGAGGAAACAAGCGAAAGAGCTTACCGGACGACATGGTTGGATGGAGTAGAGCGTCGTAACAATCGACGCAAGAGGCGAAACGACGACAAAAAGAGCGCTGAATTGAGTGGTGTGGGTTGTTACTCCCTGAAACGTACACGTGGGAACATGTGGTGATGTCATCCGCTCCAGACCCATTCTGCCCTCACACATGCCTCCAAAGCTTCCATTCATACCAGCCATTACATTGTCATTTTTGCCTCTTCGCCTGCATGCCTCTTAGCTCTAGACATTCCTCAAACTAGCCTGCTCCCGCTCCCGCTTTCCTTCCACCGCAAACGATCGCCAATGTTTCTCCGGTAATCGGATTCCGCTTCTCGGGAAACGGATCTCCATCCCACGTTGCGTAAGCTCCGGTATGTCATTTGCCGCCGGCTCGCACGCTGCTTATTTTTGTGTTTTTTCCCCTTCCCCTGGGCCCGTTCCTGGCAACGCAGGACGTCGACATCATAAACGCGTCAAGGAACTTTCGGGAACCAACTCGCATTGGGGAGGACCATTATGGACCTCTTAGTGTGGAATGGAATAAATAGTGCGGGAACACGCGTACGCTTCCAATTGACCGCAGCACTCTCCATGCTCCACCTCAACTCCAACCAATCAATGGCGCGTTCTATTGTTGGCCGAGGAGCCCTGTAGACTGGGGTATGATCCAAAAAGACTTCTTGGTTAGCACCTCCGTTATGGTGTAGTGGTTAACATTATCGCCTCTCATGCCTCTGCGTAGTCGGTACGCGATAGCCCAGGGTTCGATTCCCTGTAACGGAACATTCGTGTTGTGCTACCTTGTTTTTTTCCTTCACTGGATTCCCCAAACATGTCCCGAGAGACTTCGTATGTAGTTTTCATGCTTATCTCTATTCATCTTTGAACAAGGACTGCAATGCGCCACTGAACATGGGTACCTAAATGTTGTCTTCGTAGCCACTCATGCCTCGTACATCTCCGAGTCTCTATGCTTAACCAATCATTTCCACATCAGCGGCAAGAGACTGGCTCTCGGAAACCACTTCACTGCCAACAACTCCATGTACGCATGCCATTCATAAATACCCCCCACCACTCCCGGAAGCATTCATCCCTCTCTGCCAAATAGACTCCGGCGTTATTACTGATTTCCCGGGCTATACCATAGAAAATCATCACATCCACATACATCCGTTATGGTGTAGTGGCTAACATTATCGCCTCTCATATGGAAGATTCATCGGATAGGATGCGCGATAGCCCAGGGTTCGATTCCCTGTAACGGAACCTGAGCTATGTATTCGTCGTTTTTTCTGTATGCAAAAGTTTGCCTTCCCTCGCAATTCTTTTTGCTTATGACTGTAGGGACCGCAGTTGTACTTGGAAGCTCATGTTAACAGAATTGCTCAAAGTGAGTCGTGGTGTCGTTCACACCGCCGTTTACCATCAAGAATCCCTAGCTCTAGCTACAGTATCAGTTGCAAGAGACTAAACATCCCACCTCAGGTTCCCGAAAAAAAACACTTCACTCACGAGCCATTATTGTCGTCAAGCCCAGGCTGAGGACAGTACCTATAAAAAGTTGCGTTTTACATGGCCGATCACATGCGGGTTTGTTCTGGACTCTGATTAAAGTTGAATACTGTTTTTAGGCTAAAACTAAGATCACCTACTTCCCGGAAACATTCATCTACTGCTCTCCACAAATGACATTGGGAGTTGGGACTAGTGTCGGTTCAGGTAAGCAGGTCAGTCTCCGGTCACTGCTCGCACTACGCATTTTCGTTTCGATCGGGGTAGATTGCAAAAACAGATCCTGGTAGCTACTTCCGTTATGGTGTAGTGGCTAACATTATCGCCTCTCATAATTTGGAACGTGATTAGCACGCGATAGCCCAGGGTTCGATTCCCTGTAACGGAACTGGTCTTCGAGACGTGCTTTTTTCATGAATGCTTGATTCCATTCCACATTTTTCTTGTAGTCTTCACATACCCGTCGCCCAGTCGAAATATCCATCCCAGTTTGAGTTTGGGATATTGGCAGTGGAACACGATGTTAAAAGCAACATATGAGATTGGCCGACTAAGCAGATGAACCGTTGAACGGTTTGAAACCATACATAGCTCATCTCACGGGTATTGGTTGGTGATGTCGTTGTTCACACAGCTATCAACGCCGTTTACCATCAAGAATTCCCAGCAGCTATAGTATCAATGGCAAGAAACTAAACATCCGAGTCGTTCCCGAAAAACCACTTCACTCACGAGCCATCGAGGAAGATAGTGCCTATAAAAAGCTGGGTTTTACACGGCTGATCATCCAGAATTCAAGCCCGCACCAACTCTGTTCTGGCTTTGAAGTTGAATACCTGTTCTTAGGCTAAGACTGGGATCACCTACTCCCCGGAAACATTCCTCTAGTGTTGGTTCAGGTAAGCGTTATACACAAGTCAGAGTCTAGGTCATTCTCTGGTCACTGATCGCACTCATTGCACTGATACTCATTTCAGTTTGATCAGGGTAGATTGCAAGAATAGATTCTGGTAGGTACTTCCGTTATGGTGTAGTGGCTAACATTATCCCCTTTCATGCGGGCAAGCGATAAGGTGCGCGGTAGCCCCTGCAGGGTTCGATTCCCTGTAACGGAACTTCCAGTGTACCATCACAATTTTTCCGCTTGTGCGACTTCTACTTCGACTGTAGGGACCGCAGAACCTTGGTACTTGTATTTAGAAGCTCGCACAGTCCATTCAAAGGCCGTTGTTCGTATAGTCGCTCATGCCTCTATTTACCCAAGGATCCCCAGCTATAGTATCAGTTGCAAGAAACTAAACATCTCACCTCAGGTTCCCGAAGAACTACTTCACTCACGAGCATCCTTCACATACGCGTGCCATTTTACCGGGGCTGAGGAAGATACCTATAAACAGTTGAATCTTACACTCAGAACTCTAGTCCACATGCGACTTTATTCTGGAATCTGATTGGATTTGAATATGAATATTGCTTCTGGAATCCCCAGCTCTAATCGGCGTGACAAGAGACTAAACATTTCAGATTCTTGGAAACCACTCCACTCGCAACCGCTTCACGTACGCATATCATTCATAAATGGGAATCACTGCCTGCCAATCCATCGAGGAAATAGCTCACTCCGGCGTTATTACTGATTTCTCGGGCTATACCACAGAAAATCATCACAACCACTACGTACATCCGTTATGGTGTAGTGGCTAACATTATCGCCTCTCATGGAATGTTCCTAATCATTACTTAAGAGCGCGATAGCCCAGGGTTCGATTCCCTGTAACGGAACTGTCAACGAATATACTGTGGTTTTTTCAAGTTTTTACGAGCGATGGATTCAATTCCGCATCGGGCCCTATGTAGATTTCTGCTCACACTGTACCCGCATTCTTTTGCTGAAATCCCCTCTAGTTAGGTCGGCGATCTGATAATACATTCAATATTGACGATGGAGAACCATACCGTACATTGGACATTCTTCCGAGTCATGCCCCGAGCCAGGATTCAATTAAAGCATCGAGTATGCAAAAGTTTGTCTCCCCTCACTATTCTTTTTGCTTATGACTGTAGGGACCGCAGTTGTACTTACAGAATTGCCCAAGTGAGTCGTTCACACCGCCGTTTACCATCAAGAATCCCTAGCTCTAGCTATAGTATCAGTGGCAAGAAACTGAACATCTCAGGTTCCCGAAAAAAGCACTTCGCTCGCGAGCCATTTTTATCATCAACCCCAGTCTAACGAAGATAGTACCTATAAAAAGTTGAATCTTGCATGGTTGATTATCCAGAAATCTAGCTCACATGCGACTTTATTCTGGAATATGATCGGCTTTGAAGTTGAATACCCATTCTCAGGCTAAGACTGGGATCACCTACCCCCCGGAAACATCACCTACTGCTCTCCGCAAATGACATTGGGATCCGGTAGGGTTCATGTAAGCAGTCTCACACCGTGAATCATGATAAGGGGCCAGGGGCGATACTCGTTTCGAAGACAGATTCCGTTATGGTGTAGTGGCTAACATTATCGCCTCTCATAGTCCGGAACTCCATAGCACGCGATAGCCCAGGGTTCGATTCCCTGTAACGGAATTCAAATCGGTGAATGACCTATTTTTCTTTGTTTGACTTGCCAAACCCTCACATCTCCTGCCGACGTTCATACAGTACATGTCCGCGTGTTTATCGTTTCTTGAATCCCCAGCTCTACTGTCCGAGTCAGTGGCAAGAGACTAAGGCTAAACATCTCAGGGTCTCGGTGCCACAGCGGAGTGCTGAATCGCCGCTCATATCTACTCTTCAACAAATCTTGACCGCGAAATCAAAGTCTTCCCCGGCGCTTGCTGCTATTTTTCGGGTGATCAAAGCTAATACATCCGTTATGGTATAGTGGCTACCATTATCGCCTCTTATCCAGTTCGTATCTTGAAATATGAGCGCGATAGCCCAGGGTTCGATACCCTGTAACGGAACTGCTGTGCAAGAGAAGACGTTTTTCGTGAATGCTCAATTTCATTCCGCAACGTTCCGGTTGTTTTAGCGGACTGCCTGTTTACAAGACTCTTCTAACGAGTGACTACGGTGGATAACAGCACCTTCGAGAGTAAAACCATGCATCATCGTCATCGATGAACTGTCTACAATATGGTTGACAAGAAGTTCGGGGTAACTTTACTGACCAATGGTGCAGGGGCATGCAAAGTCACTGCACTTTAACATACCATGAACAGCAGTCAGCACCTGTGAGGGGACTCCAGTGGCATGACCGTAACCGTAACTTGGCTGTCGCCGTCATTGACTCGATGAGGATATGGCCATCGTTGCGGCCACGTTGATCGCATCAAGTGATTTCCCAGGTGAAAGCGCTAAAATTTCACCTCTGTCTTCTTCAACCTCCATCGTCGTCTTGGAGTCACCTTTCGTTCCCATCCAGCAAGATGGTGATTGTACCGTGACGTCTCACAGTACAGTTTCCTTGGAGCTCTCTCTCTCACTACCTCACGGACCATCCCGATCACAATCAATAGTATCTCGGCGTTATCACAATTGAGATACAAGTCGACAAAGCCTTTCACTATTGAAGTTAGGGGTTGCTGTTCTTGTTCTCAAGGTCAAAGCAAGCAGCCCCCGTTTAAAGATGTTCTGTGGCGATTCTCGTTCTCATGTCCAAGTCAGACTCGTGAATATCCCTTCATCGACGCGGTTTTTCTCTTGAGCTCATTAATGACAAGAGAAAACGTGGTTTTTGGGTAGTAGATGACAACGTTACACATGAGGTTTGGCCCTAATAAACTCAGAAACGATACAATACATACAAACGCTAATAAACAGAGTATATTTCGAAGTCTACACGTTAGGACGCCAGCTCTGCTGCTTTTGTTGGGAAGAACTCTCGTCGACGACAGTGTTATTGGGCCCGATGGAGGTGATGTTGGTATCCGTCTGGCCAGGTGTAAACCTCAGAGTCGAGAGTTGATGCGTCCCTCGGATATTCGTATCGGCATCATGAACATTCGTGAGATTCTTGACGGTTGCAGAGTCGGATATACTTCGTTGCACATAGACCAAAACAATGATTATGGTCGGGTAGATGCCCTAAGTGCATTTTAGTGAGGGTTTACGTCGAAAAAACACTGGAACTTACGGAAATTTGATCACCCATAGTACTCAGAAACGTGTAAAGATAAGTACCGAAGCTGAAATCCTGGAATTTGAAGAATAAGATGAGTTGAGATAGCTTTGAAGGGTTATCATCAGTGAAATGTATTTCGTGCGGTGAAACCGACCACACCCAGAATAAGCAATAGATGAAGCCAGATTCAACGAGGATCACAAGTATTCTCTCACTTTTGGAATTGAGGCCGGAGGTACCTTCCCGCAAGAAACGGCGGTACTGCCTGCGATACAATGGATTAGCGCACATGAAGGCATGTAAAGTGCTAAGACGTACCAAGCCCTCACAGCTATGAGACTAGTTGATGTGACGTTGGTCAATAGAGATATGCCCCATGCTATCGGTTCACCCCATTGACAAACTTTGGATCCCTCAGGAATGGTGCTATGTCCAGAGTTGTAGCCATTAGTAGCAAGGCAGTCCAATGCAATAATAGCGAACGCTATCAACCGGTTAACTGAATATTGAGTTTGACTAGAGACGATCGTACTGACCGAAAGACATGCATAGCATCACTATGGGGATATAAACCAATGAGTATAACCGAGTGTTTTTGCACAATGCCCATGCTCGCCAAATGACTACCGCGTCCCCAATGATCATCTGTGCTCAGAGTAAGCTAATCTTCGAGGGGAACAAAGAGTATGGTTTGGGCTAACATTTGAGAGGAACAATGTCTCCATTGGAAGTCCGAATCCAACGATCTCCGCGTTCATTTGTACGAACCTATCATACACGCTAAGGGTCGGGTATTTCATGAAAAGGGCCCTTATCGCCATTAAAAGCTGCGATACGTTCATGGCCCATAACGCGGTGGACGAGGCGAAGAGGATGACAGTCACGAAGAGAATTACGATGCTTGGAATGGTGCGAAAACCTCGAGCTCTGATGCATAAGGATTAGTTGAAATAACCGACACCAGGACACAAAGAAAAGTACGTACATCTGAATCTTCAATGCGAAACAAAAAAGCACCAAATAGATAGACCAAAATCCCGTCTCGCATACGGCTCCAATAGTGTTCATCGAAAAGTACCATCCAAGGCCTTCGAAAAGAGTTTGGTCATAACTGCTCAGGGGGGCGGACATGGAAGGAGAGAATGGATGAGGTCCAAATCATCTCAGCAGCACTATGCCTTATATACTTAGAGCATCAAATTGGCACTGGTAACGTGTGGGAAGACATTCCAGAAACCTAGATACTACAATTGGTTGTAACGCAGTTTAGTCTTCCCATTTGGGTGCGAAAGACCTTGATCATAGTGGAATGCAGTGATGACGGGAAGCAAGGAACCTCAAAGTATATTTCGCAAACCTTATTTTCGCGCTTCTGGGATCTCCCACTTCGCCGAACACTTGGTGTCCTTCGGTTTAGTGACCAAAGATCGTTTCGTTGATCATCTACGAATCCTGATGAACAACAGCCACAAGCGCAAAATCGTCGACATTATTGTTGGAGGCTGTTCACCTCATCACATTCCGGGACCCCCAATGAGCTAACCTCTAGCACCCCAGTAGACAAAAAATGCGATGAAGCCTGACAAGGTGATATTAGGAGCTAATTAACCCTTCAGAAGATGTTAAACCTTATCTTGAGGTTGTTTTTAAGGCCAAACCCTAATCAGGTCTTAGGGCCTAATGACAACACTGGATGAAGGTACATTGGAAGCGAAGCCCAATAATCCTCATGTGGAAGTAGGTACAAGTAGTGTCGTATGGTGTCATCCAGGCTACACGAGCCTTCCTGCTGCTACCAGACTGATCAAAAAGGCCAGCCAAATATTGCACATAATGCTCTGGCACATTCATACCCGATTCGCAAACAAGTTGAAGGGATGGAGTTAGAGTGGGAATTACCGCGCCCGAGCCGGCTAACATGTTGAATAGTTGTGCAGAGACGACGGAGTAGGTAGAATGGTTGGCGGGCGTTGTCTGACAGGAAATTGGGTGGGAACGCGAACCTGTTCTGGAGCGATAAAGATAGACTTTCGTTGTAAGAGGAGGGGAAGATTGGGTTGGATTTCTGTGATTGGACTTTTCATTCGTTTCTGCAATGAGGGTGCGATTGAAATTGACCGAGACTCGGACCTCACTAGGAATTCCTAATGGCTAGTCGTACTAGGCAGATCAACTGTTGAAGATATCGAGTACCCGTACAGAATACCTGAGGCCCAGCAACGGTCGGAACGCAACTGAACCCGATGATGGTGGAGAGAGATGTTCTTGAAGTCATCCCGTGCACGTAAGTAAGGCGTATGCAGTAATATTCTCGGCAATTGCCGGCATCGTGTCGGGCCGAGGTCGTGTCATTATGAGTCTCGTTTTAAAACCTTGAACATATGATTATCTATCCCATTCTAGTTGTAGGTCTAGGAGTACAACGTGCATGAGGAACTGTTGGGCAGGGAGCAGGGTACACACAATATAGATACAGATGGCTGCGACCAGAAGTGTGCCGTATGTGTTACTTTTATGTGGCTTTAAGTTGGAACCCTTGAGGATATTGCAACCGCAAAAACACAACGGCGAACCGAGGAGTCTGCTTATCTGCTACTCACGGATAATTCGGTGATTTGTCTGTAGTAGAACTTTGAATATGTGACACACCAGGTTGGTCTGTTGAAGAAAACCCCTCCGAAACGAGATGACTTCTCTTCGCTTCCGGTCTTATCTACATTGATCAATCAGCCTGCCCTAAAGATCTTACGTGGGCGAATCAAACTTGGTCCGTTATCTCATCTCACCTCAGATTCTTATCGGTACAAATCTACGTACATACAAGAGCATGATGATATTCTTTCTTTATAGCAACGGAGAAACCACACAGTATGACACAGGTAGCTGTACCCATGTCTTTGAACACCTCGACAGTGCGTTATGGGTTATTAAATGTCTTGGCTCTGATCTCGCTATGCATTGATGTCGTTCTTCGTGTTATCGTGAGGATTCGAAAGCAAACTATCGCGGAGTACTAGCGGTGTGTGAATTAAACACTGTTGATATTCTGAAACGTTGGATTTGAATAAATAGATACAAGTCGTCAAATCTGAACTACCGAAGACGAGGAGGCTAGTAGTACATTACAGCTAACGTCAAACATGCCTAATCCAAGTCATCCATTTATCCCTGATTTTTAGGGGCCTCGTTTCTATCGTCTCGATTAAAATGCCCAGATATTTTAACGAAAAAACCACACCTTGACATCCTCAGAAGGGACCGATCCAGTGGTTCCACTTAGCTCGGGGGTCCGGAATTCACCAAGTTCCACAGTATTGATAGTGACCGATGTTGGGCCTGGGGTGTCGAGCAGTTTCCGCATATTGAGTCTGGTGAATAGTCAGGACAGAGATATGAATGGACTTGGGCAGAAATACGACTCGCGTGGAGAGGAGCGAATTGGTATATACTACAGCATGAACCGCGCGTCAGTGGTTGGCTATCACAACTCATTGAACTAATACCTACAATTGCCGAGGTTTACATAGATTGAGGCATATAAAAAGTTGCGGATTTCCAAACTAACCTAAATAGTGGGAGGTCATTTAGGATCCATACCCCAAAGAGAATCAAAGCAAATAGCGCACACATATCATGATGGAAATGCTAGCAGCACTGTCACAACCTTACTCGTCAATTCTGAAGGTTACGGTGATCTTGTTAAACGCCAAAACTTGCCTGGTCAACGCCCCGTTGTGGATTGTATAGATAATAAGCTTGTTGATGAGAGTGTCTGTTCTGGAACGGATCGTTACGGTCATGCACACACAAAGTTATATCCAAGTGTATGAGATTAACCAC